ATAGTTTCTACATTGAAGAATTATTATACTGAGTAACATGTGGTCTGAGGAACGTGGTGTGGAACACGTTGGCCCTTGTGATGATGACACCCTCTGGATTTAACACGACCATCCACATTTCAATTATCTGGTCCCACTGTCCCCATAAAAAGGACTCATCCTCATAAAATCAGAAACCCTAGTTTTAGATTCATAAAATATGGTTCCTACTATAATGCCAATTATTTCCATAAAACCCTCATGAATTGACTCACATAACACCTTATAACATGAAGAAAAGAAAAATTTTAAGCACTGACTTCATCAACCCAACTGCGGACATAAACTAAGTCTGAACATCTTCAAAGACTGATGACAAGAAAACATCAAAATACCAGGAAACTAAATTCTGCTTGAGTCTCTACCACTGCAAATAGAGGTCTATATATAGGATGAATGGAAAATGGCTGTTCTAATAATCGAATTTTATATAACTATGACACCTAGCCAAAACACAGGGAACACTACCAACCAAAGCAATATTAGACAGTTCCCCTTTCCTACATCATGTTAGGAAACATTTTCACATATAAGCTTTAGAGTTGAAGGAATGACCATCACATACCAAGCTGATAGGGAACACACCTGGTATCACTATTCTGAAAAACAATGCTTACATTAAAATTTTTCAGTGTCCTTTATCCAACAATTCCAATTCGAAGAGGGTATGGAAAGGAAAACCAATTGGCACACATATAGAGTTGGAGGGTACAAAAGCCAATAGCAATTTTCCAGGGCTCACCCAACTCATTGGGCCCACAGAGGCCTGTAATCAAAGTGAGGAAAAGGGTAAGAAGCATGTGACAAGAACACCCCAGTTTTCCTTAAGTGTTGCCCCAAAGAAGAAGCCACCACAGACACTCAGCAATGGCTCCACCATCTTCTCTCTCAGCACAGTAAAAACTGTAAACCAAAGGCCTTTGAGGATAAATAGGCAGAAACCCTGCCCAGCAGGAACTATGACTTGTTCTCTTGCTGGGGCCGAGGTCATCAGGGCAAAAGGTAGCTGCTCCAGAGGAACAGGAACCAGATGTAGGCAAAAAAGAAAGGCTGGTCTCCAGGGGTGAAAAGTGATGCATGTGAGACTGAGTGAAAGGAAAGCCAAGGAGAGACCCCATGATCAATGGATGGGAAGGGGAGAAAATTAAAACAGTAACAATGACTTCGTCTTAGAAGAGATGTGTTTCTGTGCTATTCTAGCACTGCAACCTCTCTCTACTACCACTTTTATGAAAATAATGGAATAAAAACAAAATAATAGAACCATTTATCACCTTCAGAAACACGTTCCCATCCAACATGCTTAGTGGGGCACAGGAATTAGAGGGAACAGAATAACAGGTAGACCTGTTAAGGAGAGTGTAGCTGAGTTTGCTTACCACTGGGTCTTTTGCTCTTAAAAAAAAAAAAATCTCTGTCTGAATGAACAAATGAATGTTATGCCATATTCTTCATTTTTTTTTTTTGCAACTTCATTTAATCTGAACTCCGCTGGCCTGAAAGAAATGAGTGCCTCTGGATTGCTTGTAAAAATGTGAAACAGCAAGACCAGTCCTATTTCCACTCACTTATCCAGTGTTAAGAGAAACCTGCTGGGGAATCAGCCTCCATGCTTTCTATTACCTCTGCTGACTCTCCACCACCCCAGCCCACAGCAGAGGAAGCTCTGGCTCACTAAAGGATTTAGCATCTTAGCACAGTACGGATTTCCACTTCTGGCCACCTTCTTCATGCTCCCCTCGACTTACATAATTCTGACCTCCAAATATTGTGATGCTCCCTCCCCGGGGCCTTTGCACCTGACTTACACACCCAGGTGCTGATGGCTAAGACCTGTCCTGGTCACAAGGCTTTGCAGGCCCACTCTGCAAATAGACTTAGGGAGGTTTTATTCTAATTTGGAGTGGGGGGAGAAGCAGTCTCCATAGATACCAGCTTTTCAACATATTGTTTTTCTGCTCTTCTTTTTCTTACAGTGAGAATGTCAAGGCAGCAGTGGAATATTAATAAGTAAACTGCACAGGATGAAGGACTGAGTGGTCCACCCAGTCCTCTACACCACAGGCCAGTGGGGAAGGCAGACATGCGGGCTCTTTGGAGGTCAGAAAGGAGGCTCAGAATTGAATCTGTAGCACATTGGAAAGAAGACCCCAGCTCACTGTTCACACAACACAGCTTCCTCTTCACTGTGTCACTAAATTGTACAAGGGTGGCCAAGAGGGGTCAAGGCAAAGAGAGGTCAAGCCTCTGGCTTCTACAGATGCAGACTTCAGATAAACTTTCCCAGGCACGGAGCAGTCCAGGTCCTGGTGACAAAGTAGTCTATCCACTCAGAACCCTGGGCCCATGGATGCAGGTGAGTGCACCTGGCTCTTGAAAATGTTTTTGTAGTCCAGGTCCCAAAGAGGGAATGGGAAAAAAGAGTCAATGACAGCAGTGACATCATGAAAAGCTTCAGGAAAGAGTGAGAAGGTCTCCAAAGGGCAGTCAATTCTATTTCCCACTAAAGAACGGGTAAGAGCACTTAAAGAGAAGAACAAATAGAAGTGTTACAGGATTCAGCAAACCCACATCTGTGTATATGCTCAAAAGAATCAAAAGCAGGAATTTTAAGAGACATTTGCACACCCATGTTTACAGTGGGGCTATTTCCAACAGTCTAAAAGCAGAAGCAACCCAGGTGTCCATCAAAGGATGAACGGATAAGCAAGATGTGGTATATCCATACAATGGAATATTATTCAGCCTTAAACAAGAAAGGAATGCTGGCACAGGCTCTAATATGGATGAACTTTAGGACGTGATGATAAGTAAAATAAACCAGTCACAACAAGGCAAATTCTAGATGATGCTATGCATGAGGTAGCTACAGCAGGCAAGTTCATAGACACAGAAAGTAACCAGTGGTTGCTGGAGGCTGAAAGGTGAGTAGGAAATAGGGCAATTGTAGCTTAATGGGTATGGAGCTTCATTTTTGAAAGAACAAAAACTTTTGGAGACTGTGCAACAGTGTGAATACACTTAACACTGTTGAACAATATACTCAAAACAATAAAAAAGATCAATTCTGTTATATGTCTATTACCATGATTAAAAATAAAAAACAGGGCCCGAGGCTGGTGACTCACACCTGCAATCCTACTTATTTGGAAGACTGAGATCAGGAAGATCATGATCCCAGACAAATAGTTTGAGAGACCCCATCTCCAAAATAACCAGAGCAAAATGGACTGAAAGTGTGCCTCCAGTGGTAGAGCACCTGCTTTGCAAGTACAGAGTCCTGAGTTCAAACCCCAGTACCACTAATAATAATAATAAATAGTAATAATAAAAAATAGGAGTCTTTGGTAGAGCACTTGCCTATCATGCAGGAGTCCCTGGGTCCCACCCCCAATGCTGTAAGAAAATAAAAATAAAAATAAAAATAAAGAATTGGAACTGCATCAAGCGATGGATTGGGCCTCACACCATAACCAGGCACACATTAGGAATTCCTTCCTGAGACGTGGCAGGACATCAGTAAACACTGCCTGATCGGTTTGTACAACACAACCACATCCCCTGCTGCACACAATAGAAAACTTTTTTCAGCTGCCTCTTGTGCAATTTTTTTTCCATATTCTGAGAGGGGTGTTTCAAAGGAAGCACCACTGCAAATCATGGCCAACTCCCCCAGTGCACTCCTTCTCTCTGGGGTGCCTATACCCAGTGGAGACACATGGAAATGCCTGCAGGTGGTTTTGGTTCTCGCACTGTGACAAGGTAGGAGGGGAAGATACCAGCCTCTATGGGTAGAAGTGAGGGATGCTGTGATCCATCCCATAATACACAGCACAGTCCCACAACAAAGAACTTTTTGTGCCCAAATGTCAACAATGGTGAAATTAAGACGCTGTCTTGGCTGGGCCTGGGGTTCCAAAACCAGTGTTTTCTGGCTGTTTTGCTCTTTCTTTGACATATGCCCTTGAGCAGATGGCAGAGTGAGCAGTGAGGACCAGGCCAGGAGTTGGGCTACATGCTCTAGTCCCAGGCCTTCAGGAGTCCTCTCACTCTTAGGACAGTGGCACTGCATGCCACCAGCATAAAGTCATGTATCCAAAGTTAGTGACATGGGGACAAGGAGCAGGAAGACACATATTACAGCTGATAACAGTCTGGGTTGTCACACTGAGTCCCTCAGGTGTCTTGGTAGCCTGACAAGCAAACTTGGACTATAGGAGAATTTCTGGATATGGAGGAAGCTTGGGGGAAACTATTTTCCATATTTTATAAAAGTTATTGTGTTTTGTACATCACACAAACCTTGCCTTCTGCCCATTATTTGCGAGAAGGCCTCAGTACCTCAGTGCCTATTGCTGTCTTTCCCAGAATCTTCTAATTCAGTTAAAGATTTCCCAAGCACTGAACATCTCAGGTGGCAGAACTGGAAATATCTCTGGCTCTGACCTCTGTCAATAATGCCATTCTTTCCTTATGCTTCAAAACCCTGCTTGATATTAGTATACCACTTCTATAAAGTTTTCCCATATCCCAGATGCCCCACAGTTCATCATTCCTTCTGTACCTGTACCAGGTACAGACTGTAACATCCTTCAATCCCACATCTATTTGTCTATACTGATAATCAGCCAACCAGACCAAGAGTTGCTTGACATGGGAACTGGGCACACACTTTGTATATTACAAGAGACCCTAGAAGGGATATGATGCCTGTCACTTGTGTCTGCCACAGTCTGCCAATAAAGTCCATCAGCTGAATATCATATCCAACTTCTATCACCTTTTGCGAACAGTTAAAAGACCTTTAGAAATATATATAAATTTATATAACGATATTTATGTAGAGATATAAAACAAAGTACACTGAGACATGAAGTGAAACGGTAGGCAAAAGCCCTACCAGAGGTCAGTGCCCTTTGCTCTGAATGTTGAAAACATCCAGGTGATTCTGGTACACTTACAGAGTTTCATAAGGAGGGATGAATTCCACAGCGGCAGAAATTCCTCACAAAAGCCTGCTGCAAGGATTTGGGCGCTGGGACATCTAGAGAAAAATGATACCATGCTGAGGTCTCCTCAACGTCAATGTCACATGCACTGAGTTAGCTGTAGTCACAACAAATACTGCAATGAAGGTGCTTCCTCCATGCACAGTGTTGGGGTTTTCTTTTGTTTTTGCTTTTGTAACCACAGCCACTCACAAAGCTGATGGGGATGACTGAGAACCACTGACAGGAGGGGAGTGGAGAGGGAGCACTTGGCCAAAAGAATGGGAGAGTGCAAAATAGGAAGCCCCACTTGCCACCTCCTAGACCAGATCTCAGGGTGGCTTAACAAGGCCTTCAGGTGATTCTGAAGATGCTCCTGGTGGAAAGCCACTGCCTTACATCTGTCTGTGCCTCTCAAGTGCCTGCGACCACAAGGAGGCCTTGTTAATCCAGGCTGTCTATGCCAGCCACATGCGTTCTGACTCCACAGGTCTCCAATGGGCCCCGAATGATGTCCCTAACAAGGTGCCAGGTGATGCTGGTGGTGCTGGCCTGGGGGCCTAAGAGACGAAAGAAGGGGCTAAGGAGGGAGATAAAATTTTCACTTGACATTCTTTTGTAATTGTTGTCGTACCGCATGTGTACTGTACTTAATAAAGAATGGAGACTTTCTAGGTTGATGAGAAAATTCTACAGCATCGTAGGGTCTCAGGATGACTCAAGAAAGAACCAAAATAACCTCTTTCACAGAACACTGTTTCCCCTTTTCTCCTTCTCTCCTAATATTCCACGCAACTCCCAAAGCTAACAGACACCCCAAAGTTTAGATTGGTAGCTTAACAAACAGCCTGTGTCCCCAAGGGCTTTACCAGCCAGCCCCAGCCCACCCAGCTTACAAATAACTACTTGCTACCTGTACATTGCAGCCTCTAACATCGCCTCCAAAAGATTTCTCTAACACCCAGTGCAACAACTGCAATTGGCACTGGTTCCTGTTAACGAACAGAGTGGCCCACGCCAACCACAGCTTACAGCACGTGTACCCAGCCTACTTCCCTATTTTAAATGCCTAATGATTATTATCACTGCGCCCCAACACATCTGCTGGGAGCTAGGCCCACTGGGTGCCACTCACCCCACTCCAGGCCCTCCTACCAGCATGCCCCCAGCAAACCTCCAAGTACAGACAGGTTAGACAGCACACTGCTCCAAGTCAGAGCAGAGGCCTCAACAATCAAGGATTTTTTTTTTTTTTTTTTTTTTTTTTGGAGAAATGATCAAACCCGGGGGTGGGGACAGAACTTCCTGCAAGAAACCGCATCACCACGACTCACTGTAAATAAATACTCTCTCCTTGCAGCACTTCCGTCAACTGTCAGGGCCCTGGCTCCAATCGTCTTTCAAGTCCAAACAGGAAAGGGGAGAAAAGAGAGTGAGATGGCAGATAGGAGGTTTAATTTGCTCTTGCTGCAGCTTTCATTGGTGGGGTGCCTCCAATTCAGCAGGGCTGCCAGCTGCCTGGAATTGCCTCTGCACCCCACTTTTCCTGTTAACCTTCCTAATTGTGTTCCCTGGGCTGGTTCCCCAAGAGGCCAGCACACAACTGGCTGCCCAAAAGCTAAGGGTCGCAGTGCTTCCCAGGATCAGATATGCAGACTAAGGCCAATGGGCTGGCTGGAGACATAGAGGTAACTGCCTTAGCAAGGAAAGCTCTACAGAACTGGCTCTGCTGTAACTCAGCCCAAGGGACGGAGCCAGAGGGCAGTCTGGAGACCGGAGGAAGAGGGTTCCAGAAGGAAGTAAGTCAGTGACCTCAATTTTCTGGAAAGTGTAAGGGAAGGTTATTCCTTTCAGAGTGTACCATGTGCCTGGGTGAAGAACCATGTGCAAAGATCATTCATTTCAGAAACAGCAATGGTGACTATCTTGAGTGTAGACCATGTGACTTTAATATGCCTCCTTCTTCTGGTCCTCACTGAATGGTACCTGGGCTCAGGAACCAAAATCTGCATTTTACAGATGGGGAACTCAAGTTTAGTGGAGCAAGACAAACACATGCTGCTTCACAAACAGTAAGTGGCAAAACCAAGAATTCAGTTTTACTGAAACCAGGGCTGCCATGGACAGCTGGGAAGGATGTGCACTGCACACCTCTAAGAGATGCCACACATGTTATAAGCAATGTAAATGGCGGCCCCACGTATCTTGCTTGCCAGAAGTCCACGTTTTAAGCATGGAATGTAATGCTATGGAAGTTACTGGAAAGTAACATAAGCCCAATCCAGGAAGCTTCTGAAGAAGTTCTGAGATTCTAAGGTAGCTTGAATTCATGGTATTCTACTAACAAACTCAATTTGCCCTTTTAATGGCCTTTCTTGGCTCAGTTAATTTTACAATTGTCTCTGTGTTATGGTAGTAAGCCCTAAGAGTGTTTTCACACAGTTTTACTTGATAAGTACTTATGGCAAGGAACCAGTGAACAGATGAATGAATGAATGAATGGTTGTCACAGGGCCTGATGCAGAAAATAGCCTTTGCCCTTCACTGGGCCCCAGAAAGAAATGGGGGCCCTGCTGCCCTCCAGAGCCTGGCTTCCATAAAAGCTACTGTCACTTGTGGGCACCTCGATTTCCTTTTTGAATACCTGTGTTAATGCAGGCTCAGACACAGTGGTGGTGGCAGCTCAAGCTGCAGAGTGGAGCTTGTCAGTCCAGGAGGAAGCAGGGAGGGTAATGAGCAGGGAAAAGCATGTTTGAGAATGAAGGAGTGGGTGAAACCTTGTAAACTTCTCAAACAGGACATGCCCCTGGAGCCTCTGCCCAAAGGAGGGAGGGAGCCAGGCAGCCTCCCTGAGGCAAAGCAGAGTGAAGCCAGAGACAGGGCCCAGGGGCCCAGGGCACCTCCTGCCACACACCAAAAAAAAAAAAAAAAAAATTAAATTAATAAAAGCAAAAATGAAGCATTATGTGTAACAGGAAAGTGCTATTAAAACTCTGTAATGTCTCAGAGGTTCCTATGAAGTCATGTTCTTACAATTCACTCGTAAGAATTTAAAGACAAAATTATATGCCTTGTAATTCTCCAGTGAGCATGTTTTTCTATGGATCCCATTGTTTCAATGGGATGCACTGTTTCCAGAAAGTTTAAATCATTTAAAGGATTAAAAAAAATTGGCACTTTCCAGAAATGTATCTGCACATTACTTAACAGAAACAAATGTCAATACTGATTTTTGTCCACCCTCTCAGGTATTCAGGTACACACATCTCAGGACACACTGCCCACCAGGGTTGCAAACCCTAATGTCCACTGGGGCTGGGCGGTTGCTTAAATGAATGAAACAGGTAGGGACTCGACCCCAGGGAGTGGTGATGCATGTACCTATTTGGACATCCTTGACAAGCCCCACCTAGCTGGGCACCCTGGTCCTAGCATGGGCAGGTTATACTATGTCCTTTATGACAAAAAGTCAGAAATCTAAGGTTTCACAGGAAATCTCAGAAAATGTGAGTAGGCACTCACATATTTTATGTAGGACACCATTAAGTCAAATCAACGATATCTGTGGTCTGAATTTGCACACCTACCTATGTCTACACACGTACCAATATTGACTATGTATGTTCATCCACTATCTAGCCAGGCTCTTTGCACCAAATTAGTACCAAGTGAGCTCATAGGGTACTCCAGCGAGCTCACAGACAGAAATACCCATTTAACAGATGAATAACCAGAGTCAGAGAGTTGCCCGCAGACCTAGACAGTGACTGGAGCTACACATTGGGTATGAAATGGCTCTCAAAGACCCAAGAGTTAAAGCTTGGTCCCTAGTCAGTGACACTATTAGGAGACAGTGGAACTTTAAGAGGTGGGGGCTAATGGGAGGATGTTAGGTCATTGGGAGTGTGGTTTTAAAGGAGGTATCAGGACCAGCCCTTTCCTGTCTCTCTCTTTGCTTCCTGGCTACTACAAGGTAAACAGTCCTACTCTGCCACATGCTCCCAACAATAACAGACCATGCCACCAAGGCCCAAAAAAGCATGGGTGCCAAACAACTGTGGACTGAAACTACAGCCTATATAATCCTTTCCTAAATATATGTTGCTAATCTCAGGTATTTTGCCAAAAGGATGGAAAGCTGACTGGCACAACTAGCAACCCGATGGCATGTGATTAGAATCAGATGAGTGAAATCTCTCCAGATGAAAGGAACCAGGGGAAAAGCCTGGTTCCACAGGGTCTGGATGTCAGCTTGCTCCAATCCAGCAAGAGGTGAAGAGGTGACACCATCAAGACCTGTGTCAATGACCACAATAGGAGTGAGGACCAACTCAAGAAGTGTGTGGATTGGAGAAGGTTCCAAATGAGCAGCAAGGGTATTAAAGGAAGGCTGGTCTAATCTCTGAGAGTGCTTCACTTGTCCAGGCAGACAGCAACAGATATAATCAGAGCCCCTCTAAAAGAATGGAGTCTTTTAAATACGATTTGAATAAACTTGCATACTCACCAGGATGAGCAGGGGGGGGGATCATTTCTCTTTCACCCTACTCAAGATCACAGGGAAATTTCAACGCTTTAGAATCAGCCAGAGACAAGTGCAGACATGTTCTGAGAGAAGAGACTCAAATGACTCATTCTTCCAGTTTTCTCAAACTGATTTCAGCTTTTAGGAAAGAGGCTTCATTCATACACACCACACATCACACAGTGCCAGACCTCATGGAACCCTTCAGGAGTTGATGGCTCCAAGCAACACTTCCTTGTCGAGAAAAATGAATGTCGCCAGCCTTGGGGAGGGAAACCCAGGGCAGGAACGGGCTCCTTCTAAGACTGCCATCTCTGTGACTGCCAGGAACCTCCTGGTCTGCTGAGATTCTTTCTCCCCTGACCAGAGCTAAGAATTCCCACCACCTCCCTTCCTCTTGCATGCACCTCTTTCAATATTTGCAAAAAAGAAATGTACAAAACCCTGCCTCAGTAGGTCTGTAAGAACTTTATATGGGCATGTACTGCTTTCCTGATTCTGCACAGGAAGGCTGCTGACTTGTAAGATGTAAGCCATACTTCGGAGGAAAATCCCTGCCCCTGTCCCAAAAGACAGATTGTAATAATTGTCCCCAGACCACTCATGGAACCTAACCAGGATCAGGCAGTGGCGAAAGACCACTGACGTTAAGAGCACTGCTTAAGGGATAGGCTCCGTGTTTCTAAGCTGCAAATGGCTTAATTTCTCCAAGTAATGATTCCCTCAACTGTAAACCACTGGGTAATGATGGAACCTGCCAGACTGAGTTTTCCTGAGGATGAGATGGAAAGCGTTCAATGACAGCCATTCATGAGCTATCCTTAAGGAGTACATGGTGACTGTGGTGTCTGCCAGTAGCAAAGATCATTCCTGAATGCTCTTTTACTGTCCGGAGTTAAGAAGCTTATTACAAACTTTGCTTTGAACACTAAATTACCACTTCCACAATTTCAGAGCCAAATCATTGCCAGGTATTAATCCTTCGAAACCTGCCTAGCAAACTCCAAGCTGGTAATGCCGGCACTTGTCTTTTGCACTGGAGCACTTGCAAATGTACAACTTAATAAGGTGTGTGGCATGCAAAGTTTGTTAGCTAATGTCAAACCTCAGCTCCGGTGGGATCAAAGAACAAAATACATGTTAGACCAGGCCTCATGCAAAATTGCTTTTTAGTTCAGAAACAGAATGCCTGCCAAACTGTGTAGAAACAGTAATCAAACCGAACCATGGGATCTCATTTGTGATCTTTTTTTTTTTTTTTAAGTTGGGTATAAAAAAACATGATAGGTTACAGAAAAGGGGAAAAGGTCAATTTATTCTACTCAGGCCAATGACTTTTCCTACTGCAAAAATACAGAGGGTACAGAAAAGGGGGGACTAGCAAGGTGCCTATGATGCAAAATTTATAGCTATGTGCCCTCAGGCCCACTTAAGTTCAAGGGCAGCACCTGAGAGAGAATACCTCTTTCAACTTTGTACCTTATGCTCCTTGCCTGCTACAATCCAGTGTGTAAGGGAGAGGAAAAAGAAATGTAATTTTTGTGCATTTGAGTGTGGCAGTAACTTGCAGGGAGGCTCTAAGATGTAAACTGACGGGTAACATTGTAACACATCTCTTCTTTAAAGTCCAGAATTTCATGACTAGGAGCAGCCCAGACAAGAAACAATTTGCCAGAATCTCACCCAGTTCAAAGGCAGCTCTTTGCTACTTTGTAAACCTCTCCTGTCATCAACCAACCCCCAACAACCCCTAATTCCACAAACAGCAAAAAACCCTACTCTCAGATACGATTTTTTCTTTTTTTCTTTTCTTTGGCTTGCCTACACCATATAGAAGAGCACGGTGCAAAGCAAAATTGAAAGAGGTCACTTACTGATCATGTGATCTGACCACCCCAATGGAGGACTTATTTTTCAAGAGTTGTTTATAAATGAATCATTGATTGATTAGATAAATATTCATAGAGCTTATTTTTAGAAAAAATAAACAATAATAAAGTATAACTAAATACATTCCACCACAGATCTATAAGGTTTTCCTGATACATCAGGCACAGTGTTTCTTCTCCAATGTGTCTATAAACAGCACTGAAAGGGGCTCTGAAACACCAAGCCCCTTGGTGTTTCCCTTCTGAAGTTGTCTGCTTTCACCTCACAAAGCTCATTTACAAATAAACACATTTCTAAATACATAATACAGTAGAACAAGGGGTAGGAGGAGGACAAAGAAAATCCACACCTGCGTGTGAGAGTCAATGTGTACAGGTTCCTAATTTTGATTCTTTAACCAAAGCCATTTGGGTTGGAAATGCTAAACAAATAGATTCAAAACTGAAAAATTACAGGTGTTTCTTCCTCCAGACAGGCCATTTTTAGATGTGTTTCGCTAATGATCTGAGTAGAAACGCTGCACATGAAGAACAAGGAGACACAAGGAAATAAACTCTGCCCTTCCCCACCCACCCTCTGCATAACTTTACAAGCGAACTATTAAGTTCGCAGCCAGTGAGTGGTTCTCTAGTGCCACACAAATTTTGATGTCCGCTACCTCATGCAAATTCATCTATAGTTCTGCATGCATTAGGGTGCTCTGAACAAATCATTGTGTCAGGATGGCTCGCTGTTGTTTCTGAACATGATAGTTCTCAGGGTCTACTGTATTAGCTTGGTCTTGCTTCATCATCCCCTCCCTATGTCCATCATCCTATGTTAATTTCAAACGTAAGTAAAGAATGGCATAGAGGAAGCTCTTGCCTAACTAAATACCACAAAATTCAATTCTTCTGAGTAGAGAAATGATATCATGAGTTGGTTACTTATTTCTTTAAAGAGAAAAAAGAATAAACAATTTTATAGAATATTCTGAGTTTTTTTTTTAAGACCTAATTATATACTAAGCAAGAAGTAATTTTTCCTTCCTGCCTACATTTTATGTTTTGGGCACTTCCATTTCATGTCCCTTGACACCTTTTCCAATAATCCATCTACTTGATATTGGAAAGCCTCACATGAATAAAACTTTATGGCACTACAGGCGTTTAGCCTTCCACTGACATTCCTGGCCTGTTCAATTCTGCAATTCAATCAAAATCAAATCTCAAAATCCTCTTGTCAGCCAGCACTGCTTTCATATGCCTGAGTCTTGGGTAAGGATAACTGCATCCAATCTTCCCCCCAAGCAGTGCTTATATTGTTTTATTACAGTTCAATGAGTGGAGTTCAAAATTACATGCAGCTGCCTACTACTGTGGTTGGGCTGTGTTACGCGTGGACACAAGTATTGCCCACCAGGCCTGAAATCATTCACTTACTGGCCGGCCAGAAAGACCGCGAGCACTTCTTTGTATGGAAGAACATCCTGTCTGCTAGATCTAAAG